AACGTATGAATCATAAGGTACCCAACGCCATTGCTTGGTTATTCGGAAAGTGACACTTGCTGGCTTGGATATCAACATGCCTCGACTGGCAACCTTGGTGAACTGGGCCTATGAAACCTGAAGTTCCAAATCAAGTACTTGCGACATTGACGGTCACCTATCACAGGTAACAACATCCGACTGTCATCCCTATACATACACTCAATTTCATGACGGTTTCACTTTTCACAAGTGAACCAAATGAATCACTCCGTGGCATTTTGTGACTAACCATTTCACCGTTTTTCATCACGTGATTAAACACTGTACTCTTTTTCATCTCCTCGTATCGTTCCTTCAATGTACGCTTTTATAGGTCTTTCTGCGTGCAAGTGAGAGATAATGACATCGCGGTGCAATGTGAAGCAGACAGATCAGCTTACGCAATTTCAAGACTAACCCGCTGTAGGCGAAACGTTGAAACTATCATTAGGGTAAAACAACCGAGGTATGTAAAGACACATGCTGCTGGTAAATCAGTGAGCGCTCCGCTGTTACTGGGCACCATGCATTCACATACAACATATCTTAGGGGATTAATACTCTATGGTTCCGATCATCACCACCACCATCATCATCATCATCGTCATTATTGAGATCAACAACAGAGGAAAACACTGATGATTCACTGCCGTACAAGCATTCCACATCATTTGCAGTGGTAAAAGAAAGGATAAGGGAACAGGAAGGAAAACGTAGTCTAGCCTACAGCATACACCCGAGATACCTACACATCCGACACCAAGTCAGACAATCTGGATAGAAACTGACAGCATGAACGTAATTGGCATATTGGTTTATTTCGACAGATGTATTAAGACGAAGGTGTTCAGGAGATCCATCAGCATCATCCTCATCATTATTATTATCAACATCAACGTCATCACTGTCATCATCCGTACTCAACATTGACGATTCCCGCATGCCTTTAATGTCCATTTAGAGCCTTATTAAATAGAAAAGGATCAAAATGCATGGGGAAAGTATTTGATGCTGACCTAACACAATTATTGCGATGCGCCAACAGCTCCAGACAACTACTCAGGCGATCTGAAACGAAAGTGATAACAAGAATTCCAATAGCCTCGATCCAAGGACAGTCAAGGTGGGAAAAGGCGGTCTCCATCGTAGAGCGCGAATGACACCGATGGCGCCCAGGTATTTGTCAGTCTCTTTCATTTCCAATTTGCAAATCAGAGAAAAGCCTGATTGGGAGGATAGTGGGAAATTTCGGACATACCACCAATGGTTTGATTATTTTGGGGCGACTGGACGGCTGTGCTGGCTGAATTGACATAAATCCTCTTCATGCTTGAAAACAAAATAACAAACTGTTTTGAGAATCAAATGGACTACCACTGGCTGCTGAATACCACTCTACTACCCATCTACAGCTGACGGGCTTATCTGCAACAGTTCTATGTAAACTTGCGTATTCCGAATCTAAAAGCCAAGCATATGATTATTCGTCCGCTAGTCAAACACTAATTTCCATGCCATAACAAAAAATACCCCAGAATTATTCATCTTCTTTGGCTGATGTTGTCACGTAACGGCAGGTCTGGGGGTTCTAGCAAAGATAGTGTAGGTCAATATCAAAGATGCGTGAAATACTGAGGTAAAATATCGATGAACGGATCCTGTGAAGCACGAAATTAACGGAGCTGCAGAACGTCCAGAAATAACACACTATTCAGAAGTCGCTGACATTTACGTGAAAGAAAATCATGGTTTACATGCTTCTTGCGGCGAATGAGGTAAGCGAAATCCTTGATCACTTCTACAACTTAATCAAGACTTGAACCCAGACTGGGCGGAACTTGCCAAACACTCTGATGAACGAGATATTTATCTGCGTTTGTTTGGGGCAGCCAGACAAAATCAAATAAGCGTGTGAACGTATAATATATACATTTCTCGAACCCATGTGGGCGAGTCTATCGTCCAATTACATTGCATACAGCTGTCGCAAAAAAAAAAGAAAAATTCTCGTCGGCGCGAGATGAGACACCCGATTGAGTCAGTCACCAGCGATGTGAATTCATTGGTTGACGAATGGGCGATGTTATGTCCCGAATGAGTGCGGAGAAACCATGCAGTTTGTTAGTCATTCGCTACCGAAAGATTACACGTTGCATATACCAAGCGCATCACTGATGATTCCCAATAAGCATGGAAAAGTTGTGCAATGCTTCCCGAATTTTCATCACAGAATGGTTTCTCAAAAAGAAATACAAAAATTTCATACCATGAAATATTCGTCCTGTCACTCTAGAAGCGAAAAGCTGTATGTTGTCTTGTCAGGAAGAATTCGCCCGACGTGTTCTATTACAGACACGTGCTGTGTGTTAATGTTGATTCCTTGGTCCTATTTTTTAAATTGTACAACACGATCCCCCCTTTTTTGTTATTTTGGTCTGTGCCCATACCACCCTTGTTGTTTTTTTTTTGACCTCAAACCGTTCTTTGACCTTGTCATCGACCGTGTTGTTTAAGTTCACACGCGTTTTCGCTAGCTTGTAAACACGTAGCTTTGCTTTGACGTGGATAATGAGACCCGTTGAGTATTAGCAGTACTTAAACCGGTGTATAGAAGTCCCATGATTTGAGAATTGTAAAGCTTGATCATTTTTTTATTGTACTTATAGTAACGCATTTGTAGATAAACCTCCATTTGAAAGAATTGGCTTTTTGGGTTTTGCGCATGACACGATATGGTTCAACAGTTTGCTGGAATCAATCTGTAGTACTCAAATCCGTAAATCAAATCTCAAGTACGCGGTGGATCTCAGATGTTCAGCCGAACTGGAATCTGGAACTTTGTGAACAATATGCCCAGAACAAGAAGCGGCGAGTCATTCGAAAATATGTCGAACCCAGAACATGCTAACGTTATGAACGATATTTCAGATAACGCTGTTGATTGTGACATTTGCTTTTCTCGGCCTCCTTTATTTTGTCAACATTCTCTTTCTAAGCCTAGCGTAGCTGGTATGATAAGGTGC